AGGAAATCCCGGCTAATCAAACGAAGAGCACCACGACAAAGTGTAGCTGATCACAGCAGATAAAGCAGTTCCAACACAAGATAGTGAGGCGTAATAAATATCAATGCACAAATCTACTGGACCCCCCCCGGATGGGACCACCATCCCTGGTTCAGGAGTAAAAAACAAACCTCACCTGGTGCAGAAATCTCTCGCCTCCTGCCAACTTAAATGTACGCTTTTGTAAAAGTACTTCTTTGAAATCACAGATTTCTGAGCAGACGCGGTGCTCCAGAGGAGGAAGAGGAGGAGGCAGGAGATCCCGCTCTTCATCCTCAAATCTCTGTGTCACAAAGCCCAAACGGATCCGTATAGTTTTAACTCCTAAAAAAAAGACGACCACCAAAAAGGTGTTTGGTTATTAGAGAAAAACGGTGGAGGAATGCCCTCTTCTGATGGTCTGCTCTGCTCTAAAGTATTACATCTGACCCCTGGGCTGGTCCTCTGATCGGTCAGTGTCCACCTGGACTTCGTCCCCGGTCCAGTAGTTCCTCCTCTGAGAGGTCATTTGAATCGCAGACCCACAAAGCAAGCATCGGCACTCTGGAGCGCCGGGGGCATTTCCCTACAGGGATGGAGAGTGAGAAGATTTGACTCAGAGACAAATAAGAAGGCAAATAAGTCTTCTGGGTCACGCCGAGTTGCGTCCAGCACATTTCAGCCCCAAGGACACGTCAGTGTGTGCAAATTAACACGTGCACAGAAGAGAGGGGGGTCCTGGGCACGAGACATTTTCCTGCTTCAACTGAGTGACATCAGCCTTGAAGAACTGAAATACATTTGAAGACCAAAGAAGAGAAGCATGTTGGCTTTTTTTGGGCTGGAGTTTGCAAAAAAAAACCCATTTAAAGTTCAGAAAAAAAGAAAAAAAAAAGAAAACTGAAGTATAAAAAGATTAACTCAATCCCTCCCTGTGAAATGTACACAGGCAGTAACCCAAAATTCATCAAAGCTCATTTATCTTTTATACACAAGGTGCATTTTCCCTTAAATTCCCCTTATTTGGTTTGTATGATCTTATCTTTGGAGATCAATAAAGTAATCAATCAAGTAACCCTTTACAGCCTGATCCAAGAATGAAACAAAACAGAAAATTAGTTTTTTTTGTTTGAATGCCTAATTTGGCCTTTTAACAAAATATGTAAAAAGAAACAGAAATAAATTTTAATATTAATAATTTATTACTACACTATAAATCAGGATTATTTTTGTGTAGTCTTCTGCCCCCTGTTATCAGGTGTATCTGATTGTGTACAGTAGGATTTTGAGCAAAGTTCTTACCATTAAATTATGCAAAAGGTGTCAGACGCAAGAAACCGTATGAATCAAATATGACACATTTGGCATTACAGGGTTAAAACATGCACACATGAGTCTAGATTCATAAACACCTTTATAACGGAACGTTTTATTTAGAGTAGACTGAACGTCACATTTCAAGTAAACTCCAAATTGTATCTGAAAATAGAAAAAACAGTCACAGATTAGCCTCAGTCCCGTACGGTTTAACCCTAAATTCTGCTCATTTTGGATGGAAATATCATCGTTACGTTTGGTTTTTTAGCTAAAAAACCCCTCAGACCTGACCCGGGACCGGCTCACCGGGCTGGGACATGCTCCTCTCCAGCTGCTTCAGGGTCTCCCCGGCCAGCGTGTGCAGCTCGGCCCGCAGCCGGCGGTGGCCGTCCAGCGTCAGGTGCCAGAAGCAGGACTTGCGCTTCCCGTCGCGGCAGAGCTGGTTGCAGGTCTTCCGGAAGCTGCTGTTGAAGCACAGGTTGTGGCGGATGGTGTTCTTCCAGCCGTCCGGCGCCGTCTGGAAGAAGGGGAAGTGCTCTCTGGAAGAGGGGGGGGGGGGGGGGAGACCTTCTTTTCTTTTTTGACTGTCTTGATCTTTTATCTGTGATGTTTTAGTGTGTAATTTGTTCTGTTGTGTACAGTCACTGTGTTTGGTGTAAAAGCCTAACTGGGGACAGGCGTTGAGAATTAGCCTTTAGCTAAAATGTTATAGTGTGTGACATGTTTCATGAAACATACTTGTCCCTATCAAATAAACGAATAAATAAATAAACAATAACCTCCTGAGACCCTGTGTCCTCATAAGAGGACGTTGCATTTTTGTCTCTCTTTACCATGATACTTCTTTTTTTCTTTCAGCTTTGACCTCTTGACCTCATAGCAGATGCTATCAGACACTGTTTGAAATCTAAAGTAAAATGGTTTTATACATTTCCATCCAATCATGTTCTTATTGTGTAATAGAAAAACTGTAAATGAGTCAATGGGACTGTCAGAACAAAATTGTAAAAACATTTAATTAAATATGTATCTCATATATCTTTAATAAAAAAGCTAAAATGCATGCCAAATAAAAGCTTGGGTCTCAGGAGGATAAATAAACCCCCAGGAGGACTGGGCTCAGACCGGAGACTCTGGGGGGGGGGGGGGGTTCGGGCTTTAGAAACCTGGTGAAGTTGTAGA